TGAAAACTTACATATGGGGGTTAATCGACATCCTGATCACGAATATCACACTGGTTTCAGGCGCTGGCGCCATCTGGCGCCATGACGCGCCAATTTGGCGCCCACCACGTTTTCACCAAAGTTGATGAAAACTTACATATGGGGGTTAATCGACATCCTGATCACGAATATCACACTGGTTTCAAACGTTGGCGCCATTTGGCGCCATTACGCGCCAATTTGGCGCCATATTGGCGCATAATGGCGCCAAATGGCGCCAGCGCTTGAAACCAGTGTGATATTCGTGATCAGGATGTCGATTAACCCCCATATGCAAGTTTTCATCAACTTTGGTGAAAAAGTGGTGGGCGCCAAATTGGCGCATAATGGCGCCAAATGACGCCAGCGCTCGAAACGGATGTGATATTCGTGATCAGCGCATCGAATTACATCTATAGGCAACGTTTCAGCGAAAATTTTTTTGAGTCTTTTTTGGGGTAGGAGTGTTCAATAGTGCCTCAAATTAATACATTAGCGACCTACAGCTTTAACAATTACATCAACATCAGCATTAAGACCTAGCAAGAGTGCGGAAGGTTGAGCCTGCCGGTGCGGCGGTATAAATGAGGAAGAGACTGCCCAGCAGCCCTAAGGCACAAGGATCAACTGTTGTCACATTTATCACGCAATAGCCTTAGAAGGTCGCGTTGATTTCTGGCTTGATGCTATGGATTTCCCACACTTCCATGATTTTCTCTCAATGTTTCGGTGTCACGAACAATCTTGTCGATACTGTTCATCCAGGAAAGATCTGTGAGCTCCAAGGAACTGGGTATCCAGTCCGATGTAGAGCTTGCGGAGTGAGTGGGACTGGAAGACCGCTGAAGATTCGTTTGGACGAACATCGAAGAGCGTAGGTCAATCCCGTCGCCTACCCACTTAGTGCGTTCTCCAAGCATCCAGCATGAAAAAGAGAACCCTCCGTCTTTCGATCTGAGTGTTCTGCACAAACATTTCGTACGACCGCTTGAGTGAAAAGTCATGGAAGCGCACTAAAAGGACAGGCGACGGAATTGACCAGCGCTCTTCCATGTTCGTCCAAACGAATCGTCAGCGGTCTTCCAGTCCCACTCACTCCGCAACCTCTACATCGGACTGGATACCCAGTGCCTTGAAGTCTCACAGATCTTCTCGGATCGCATCAAGCCAGAAATCATTGCAAGGGAGAAGCTATGTGACGACCTCCTACGGCTAATTGCGTGGCAAATGTGGCAACAGATGACCCTTGTGCCTTAGAGCTGCTGGGCACTCTCTTCCCCCATTTATACTGCACCGGCAGGCTCACCCCGTCCGCACCCTTGCTAGGTCTCAATGTTGATGTAATTGTTGTAGCTGTAGGTCGCTAATGTATCGTAATTTAAAGGCAGTTGGCACGATAAATCCCCCAAGACGACTAGGATCAATACTCCTGGCAGGATAGAATTCCGCGACCAGGCGCTGCATAGCGGTTTCCCCGAGGAAGGTGCCCTTATAAGGGC